ATGTTGGTGAGTTGCCACCCGCACCGGTCGGGCGCGGCCTTAATGGCTCGACGATGGGGAAATGGCCAAATTGAGGCTTGGCCAGGCTCAACTCAAGGCATGATGGGGTCAGGTAGCTAGGTGGCTTAATGGTGAGGCCGTGGACGCGTTGAATCGGATTGAGGTGATCTCTCCCTCTCTGGCTGATTTCATGGGCGTGGCTCAGACGGCAGAGGCGGCAGGGAGAAGGGGTAGGTCCAAGCTCTGGTCGTCCTTGCCTTACCGGCAAGCGACCGGCTAGACCTGAGACATCACCTACGCGCTTGCTACGTGACAACATAGCCAAATAACGTGCGCGCACGCAGGCAGCTGAGGAAGCATGGCATGTGGGGCCACAACGCCTTTAAGGTGTGGCGACGGCGTGAAGCAACAGGGGCTAGCCCACGTGCACACGGCGATGAGGTGCTCATATCAGCACAGCATGGTGCCACAGCGGTAGCAGCATTGCACGGCAGTAGCCAAAGACAGCAGTGGTTGCACCCCAACAGCTCAGCAAGGCAACAACGGCGGTGGCAGCAGTGCTGCGGCCCACAGCGGCCAGGCCATTGCCAGACTATGGCCAGACCGAGGATGGCCTTGGCCGGCCAACACGTAGCAACGCGCGTGCACGCGGTGCGGCCAACGTGGCGACATTGCGCTCGCTAGCGTGGTGACCGCGCACACCCGACCAGACAACCCGAGGTCGTGTTTGGGCACGATTTTTGAAGCACGTCTAGAAACTAATCTAACACAGTTGAGGCTCAACCACCTAAACCATGCTAAAGAGGGTACATCAGATTACCATACGAAACAAAAATATAGCACTGACCTTTAGCTAAATGACATGATTTAGTAGTTTGTTTAGGGCGTAACACTGAGGGTGTTACAACCAGCAAGCTCAGGTTAGGGGGATGTCGAGAGCAATGGTCCAGCGTACACCCCAAGTGTAGTGCACAGGCCTCCCTTTCCTGCCGACGGGTACACTAGATGGAGGTGCGGGTGTAGGCTTGCCTAGGCACAGGCCTCCCCCACCTCTCTATAGGGTCGAGATAACGGACTAAAGGGGGATGAATAGTCATTTCTAAAATTAATCGCACCAGTTAACTAAAACAAATACGAAATTAAAACTAACAATTTAGTCAAGATTACACCCCTCTATCTAAGTTTTCTGGCACCTTACAAAGATACTAATTAAGCAACTAAGGTGCTGGACTAGTTAGAGCTCATCTAATCAATTTTAGAAGCAAGGTCACACAAACCTATGTAACTAGTACTTCAAGCACGGAGAGCACCTACACATGCTAGTAGCAAAAGCACTAAGCTCCTAAACTCACTAGCAAATCTCAATAATAAGGCTATACAAGCCAAATTAGAGAGTGCAAATTGCTTAGCTACATAAACTAAGCAATGTGAATAACAAGGTTACTCAAACTAAATTAGTCACGCAAGATAGCTACTTCTATGCTACACAAGTAAGAAGGTAACTAGCAAGCTACACAAGCTAACTAATTACTAGAGCACTACACAAGCACAATGTATGAAATGTAAATACAAGCTTGTGTGAAGGGGAATGCAAACCAACAGGATGATAATATTGACACGATGATTTTTATTCCGAGGTTCACGTGTTTGCCAACATGCTAGTTCCCGTTGAGACAAGCTCCAAGGTTGCCGCCGATCCTCTTGCTAGCGGTGACATGCAAGTCACACTCTCCCACATGGAGTGCTTACCACAAGCTCTAGCACTTGACCTGGCCAGACCACTTGTCGCCCTTCACGTCTCTCTCTACTAGAGTTGCTCTTCGCGACTCTCATGGGATGAGCACAATCCCCCTTACAATCACTTCTCCGAAGCACCGTACAATTTTCTTTGTGTGCTTTGATGGAGACCACCACCAAGCCATCTAGGAGGTAACAACCTCCAAGAGTAACAAGCACCACCGGCTTGTAACTCAACCACGTAGTGCCACTTGATGCAATCTCTCAATGCAATCGCACTAGAATCACTCACTCGCAATTGATTCGTACTCTTGCAAGCATAAGTGAGTTAGAGGCTCTCCTAGCACTCCCCAAGTATGGACACTAAGTCCCAAGGATGCCAAGCATGTGTCAAGGCCGACCACACACTCCTTTTATAGTCCCAAGGGCTAGAAATAGCCGTTACACCCTTCAACCTGATTTCTACGCACTGACTGGACTTGCTGACCGGACTCACACCAGAGTCTGATCCAGAGTCCGGTCACTGAGATGCAGCCATGTAGCCTTGCTATTTAAAGATGACCATTGCTCGCCAACAGCAAGCTCTCGCGTGTGCATACTCATGACCGGACATGCTGAGGCCGAGTCCGGTCACCAACGTGCCTCTACACAACTGATCGGACTCCCCTTTCTCCTATGACTGGACTCGACTCTCCTAGAGTCCGGTCACTTCCAGAGAAAGTTTTAGAGAGATCTTATGATGATCGAACGTGTCAGGTCATCACTGATCGGACTCTCCTAGCATCCAGTCGCTTCTGCTCGCCAAAGAAACACTAACCGCAACTCTCGATCGGACTCGCAGGCACTGACCGGACGCGTCTAGGTCACAGACCTTTCATCACTAAAACGATCATAACTCTTAGCTCCGGAGTCCAATTTCGATGATCTTGGATATTTTGGAAAGCTTTTCAGAGGGTACACATCCCACTTGCAAATATGATCCAAAGCACAATGGATCAATGTAGAATTCCAATCCAAGAACCATCCCATAGTTCATAGTACACAAAAAACCTTTTCTCTTCTCCAAGTTGATCCAATTCAACTCCAATAATTTCTCCTTTGCAAATGTGCCAACACCACCAAGTGTACATCATCATGTGAATGTGTGTTAGCATTTTCACAAATATTTTTCAAAGGATTACTCACTCAATTCACCACGCCACTCGATCCTAGCAACAACGCAAAGTTAGATTGCTCAAGTGGCACTAGATGACCGATATGCAAACAAGTTTGTCCCTCTTGATAGTACGACCATCTATCCTAAACCCGGTCATAAACTTCTCTACACAACCTTTGACCGGTGAAATGAAATACCCTACAAATATATATTTGTCTTACGCATTCCATTCCATCTTCTTTGATGTAAATGCAACATATGCACCAACTTGATCAACAAACGATATGATCCACTTAATATCATCACATGATCATATTGGTTCATCGATCTTGGCCTCACTTGCTTTTCATCGTTGCCTCGCTCCATCGATGCCAAGTCCTCAACTTGTCCTTCACACTTGCAACCGGTCCATCAAGCCAAGCCTTGTCTTGATCTTCTCTAGCTTAGTCACATGACTCAATGTCATGTCTCATATGCAATGAGCTCCTTCATCATGTGTGTGAACTTTACAACAAATCCAAGCCATTTCACCTCTATGGCATGTATTGCTCACACACATGTACCTGTGGACTAATCACATATGTGTATTTCACTTAAACACATATTAGTTCACCTAGGTTGTCACTCAATTATCAAAACCAAAAAAGGACCTTTCACTCTCCTTATGTGATGGGCGAGGTGGATGGAGGCATGGCGCGGGACACTAAGCAGTGCAGGATGTGGCCGGGCGTGGCGATGGAGAGGAAGGCGGACGTGAGACGCGGTGGAGCGTGATCACGAAGCGTAGTCATGAACTTGTGGCACTGTGGCAATATTTTGTAAAAAAATGTGGTGCCCGAAGAAAACGGATATAAGATTGGATAAGAAAACCTCTGGGCATCACGGTCCACCGAAGGGGCCATCGACGGACGTCTCGTAGAGAACATTACCGTTTTTTAGACTGTCTCAACAAGAATCCATATGGGCACTTAAACCTAAAATGGGTAGCAAGAGATCCAAAATCAACCTCCAACAGAGTACCTATACAGGAGACCTATTTTGAATTGCATGAGAGGCACAACCCAAATAGGCCTCGTTCGTTGGTCTGAAACTTGGCTGAAACTGGCTGAAAAACAACTGTTCCGGCTGAATTGTTGTGAGAGAAAAACACGTTTCGGCTAAAAAAAGAAGCCGAACAAGCCGAATATGGGGTAAGCCAAACAGGGTCGTATGGGCATCCTCTCTCCTAGAAAAACCCATTTATAGAAAGGATTATCTTTTGGATCTCATTGTTGAAAAGATGTCGAATAGATATTGAATTTTTTATCTATAACGCTACCCAAAAAAACGAATGTGTGTATTTTGGTTGTCGTGGTTGGAGATAGGAGATAGCCTTAGCGGAAGCAATTTGCAGAAGCTTATATTAAACTCTATATGCCTCCTAGAATCGGCACATTCTTAGCGCTCTAATTACTGTTTCCTGTACGGCTGTCTAGTCCCCGCCCGCCGCGTGGCCACGCCGCATTCACGTTCCCGGTCTTCCGGTCTGGGTTACTGGCGCAAACGGCTGTAGCCATCCTCCGCTGTGTACGTACGGTCCTCAAGCCCGTATCCTCCACGTATTCCATGCCACCGGCCCACCTCCTCTCCTCGCAGCTGCCTCCGGGGCTCTCTTCCTCGTGGTCATCCCAATAGCCACGCCCCTCAGGCCCACCATTCGCGCGGCGCCTCAAGCTCGTGCGTGTGCACGCCTGATTTCCCTCTCTCATGATTCATGGGCCTAGGTCTACTCTAGCCCAATCTTAGTGGTGTTTGATTGTATCTCCTAAATTTTAGTCACTGTCGAATATTTGGACACATGCATGAAGTATTAAATATAGACTAATTACGAAACTAATTATATAGTTTACGACTAATTTGCGAGACGAATCTTTTAAGCCTAATTATGCCACGATCTGACAATGGTTTGCTACAGTAAACATATGTTATATAATAGATTAATTAGACTTAAAAATTCGTCTCATGAAATACCAACAGATTATATAATTTATTTTTTTATTAATATCCGAACATCCCATGCAACCTCACACTCCTGCTAAAACACCATCTTACACCTTAGTATCCAGTCTCAGAGCTGTCGTCGCACTGCCTGGGAGGCGCGCGTCTCCACGCGCCGCGCTGCTGCCTCGGCCCTCGCGCTCATGCCGGCCTCGCCGCATCCGTCCACCTGCGCCTTAAGTGCCTCCGCCTCCTTTCCTCGGTCCTCTTCTGCTTCGACGGGACCGCCTGCTGGTGCCACGCCGACGCCACTGTTGTCGACCGTGGACCTTGCTGCGTAGGTCTGTGCCTCTGTCGCGTCCATGGACGCGAGCCCGTCCTCCTTCCTCTTCTTCGCTCGCCTACGCCGGCGGCCTTCTGGATCTCGGCCGATCTGCTGATTTTTGGATCCTTTATACGCAGGTTTGGGCTGTGCGTGCTCTGCTTCCGCCCGCCCGATGCGGCCGGGGCTCACCCAGCCGTCAGGTACGCACCGCCTCCTGCCTGTTTTTGCTGTGTTTTGTTCATGTCAGTGCGCCTATGCTTTCGTAATCTTGCTTTCCTGTGCTTGGCGCTGTTGATTGGCCTCATTCCTATGTCCCGTGTGTTTGGACACTAGAAAATCCGCCTCAAGCGGCTTCTCGTGTGGGAAAAGTGCGGGCGTGCCAACACAAAATAAAAACAGACAGGAACATGTATTTTATTAACCATCAATAGTTTAACAAATACAAATTCCTAATGCGTGCGCTACATAGCCGACTGGCGGCGATCTGACATGGGCGATAGTGGTCTTCATGGATCCTGGGGCCTCGGAAGGCTCCAAATTAATTACCCCCATGAGCTAGCTCACGAAGTACCTCCAATTCTGCTGATGTGGTCGTCGTCTTGAATCCTCGCTTCACGTCTCCATGCATGGTGTTGGTGTAGATGTATGTGGCGTTGGCGTATAGCTCCTAGAATCCGCGTGTTGAGACCGATCAGGTTACTGTTTTCTTACTATTCACCAATCATATGCAGCCACGTGGACTCGTGTGTGTGTAATCCTCGATTTGGTCTCGCTTCGTTTAATTGGGGGGCCCTCCTGCTGACCCTCGCTCTCTCCGTCCGTCAAAGTAAAAAAGAATTCCTCACCCGAACTCCAGCGTCGCCGTTTCCGTCTGTGCTTCTTCTTCCTCTTCCTCTCCCTACCTACGGCGACGGCCGGAGATGCGGCGTCCTTCTTTGACGGAGGCTGCACGCGTGGACCGCTTCAGTGCCTCTTCCTCTCCCCTGGCGGCGGCGGCGGGCGGCCAGCCTTGCCAACGGTTGCGCGCCGGACCAGCCGAGGAGCGGCTTCCCACCCCGAGCTTGCAACCATGGTGACCGATGCCACCCATCTGTTCCTCCTTACTGTTTAGCGCTCGCTCGCTTTCATGCAAATCTGGACCGCCGACGCGCCGTTTTTGCTTGGCCGGCATAGCTCCGCCGCTCTTTCTGTCCTTTGCTCTGTTCTTCAATTCCACATAACACACTCAAGCGGATCTGTAGATTTTTTTTGGGTCCTACACACTATGAAGGTTGCCTCATGGTCTCCTATCCTACGACCTTCTGCAGTAGTCGCTTCATACCCTGCGTATGTCTCCTTCGACCATGGCGACCTCCGTCCACGAGCACTCCGCCGCCACGACCTCGAGAGCTCCATGAACCGCGCTGCCTACAACAGCAGGCACGAACCAGCGCCGGCCTTGGCCACGTCCTCCTCTGCGAGAACCCTCGCCATTTGGTAGGTGCTCTCGAACAACCAAAGAATCATGGAATTAGAGAAGGATAATCAACGTGGAATGACTCAGTCATGTGAGGATTAGTTAGCATCCTTGGTGATACTAGCACGTGCAGTGGATTTTAGTAGATTTCTTCCAGAAATTTATCCATGGAATGCTATTGTCTCCTTTCTTTTCAATCAGCGACCAAGATTAGAATGGATTTTTCAAGGTGCTATAAACATGTCTCTTTTAGGATTGTTGCTCGTCTGCTCCTGGTCCTACTGTTCACCCAATGAGGCCTCCTAGTCCTCTCCAAGAAGGTGACCTTATCTGATAGGCTATTATAACCTTATTGTTAGGTCAAACATTCATCTTAATTTGGAGATTTGTCAATAACCTCGGTCCAATAATATTTTGCTTCAGTAGGATCTGCAGAATGGAATGCGTGGCCTAAAATCAGGGCTCACTTTTTTTGTTCCATATTTTGCATCCTGTCTTTAGCAATAATTCATTATCATTGCCATTTTTTATGCAGCACGCTACTATGGCTTGCTTTGTGTAAATAACTAATCTGCATTACTAATGGAGGATGCAGCGTGTCTACATGACCACAAAATCACATAAACGAAAGATCATGACTTAGGTTAGGTTCTCGCGTGTCATTTTGCATGGAAGGAATTGACGGCTTAATTTCTCCTTTCAGGTTTAATCGCAGAGAGGTCAGCACAAATCTCAGAGATGGAAATGCTGGCAAATGTAAATTCAGTTCTGACATTGAACTACAAAATTTATGTTCAGGATGCATGATTTTTTTTATCATGAACTTGTGGTTCGGTTTAGCCTCAGATTCCCAGGTTCCATCACCTAGATTGGCTTTATGAAGCCTGGATTGAACACTAAAACTAACAATATGTGTCATGTTCAAGCAATGTTACATGCCAATGGCGTTGCAATCAAGGAAAACTCCATTTATGGAGTGTAAGAACGATTTCATGTGAGTAGTTGCAGCACCATCTCTTCATGGTTGTATGGAGGGACCCTGATTTCAATGCCTTTGGTCTCAAGGTTCAAACATGGTGTCCCTGTTGGTCTGTGCATATTTTGAGTTCATACCAAACATTGCTAACCGATTCTTTTGCAGGACCCAATGGCCCAACGAATTGCTATGTTGATGCTGAGTTTTCTATATACTCCTTCATATGGTTAGGCCCTTTCACTTCTCAAGTTCGTGCTATGAATTTTAGTATTTTGTGTGTGTTAAGGTTGTGATAGAGTCCCAACTACATGCGGTCCTAATAAATTGGTGGATGAACCAAGCGTGAAACATCAAAGCAAAAAATAAAAATAAAAATACTTAGGTGTGCACGAGGATTATATTGAAAAGTACGTTTCCAAGCATAGGTCCATAATCCTATCACCATGTCTAAACTGGTTTACATGACAACACCAGTACAATGTCTCATATAGTACATGAATTATATGCAAAACTTACTGCAACTTAGCTTCATCATGTCACCATGTTCATTTTAGTACTCGTCGGTAATCTCATATTTTTAATATTGATCTATCCTTACGTACTGAGAAATGCTATGTGGCATTATTTTTTGATGGTGAAATTGTTTACTTGCTATTAATATTTTTAGGATTTACCTGTATCCAACTATCTAACAGTGAAGGATATAAATTTTTACAGCCTTATATGGTTTTCAGATGAATCATCTTTTGCAGACTATAACAAATACCCATGAGGCTACGGTGGTCGTGTCGTCACCAGGTACTAAGCTGAACAACACTTAGAACTGATGAAGATCACTACTTTTCGTCTTTGTCCTACAAGCATGTGTACTGCTTTTGTTTTCCCTTCCCATTTTAGCTTTAGTCAGTGCTTGCGTGGAGGCTTCCAGTTGTTCAGTGTCCATAGCTAACAGACCTAGAGATTGCTGAATTCTATATATAATGATACTCCTGTTAGCGAGTAAAAACAATATACAAAGGAGCTGCTCATAGAGCACGCGGTTAAGCTCCAAGGGTGGGAGTTGGCCCGGCAGGGATCGATCCCTGATTCCTACAATGGCTTCCAAAAAAGGCTAGGTCAAGTGGTCCTTTCAAAAATAAAAATAAAAACAATATATCTGATCAAGTTTGATGATTTATCATTGATTCAAAAATCAATGGATATATGTTTGGTGCTAATTCTTCAACATTTTCTGCAACGAACAGGTTAAGGATCGATCTTACAGTTGGGGAGGTATACATTTTGCATACTGATCAAACTGCAGTCCAATTTTTTTTTAAAAAACTTACAGAATCTTAATTAAGTTAGATGGGTAGAAAGCGGGATGCAAATTGAAAGCAAATTTAACTGGAACATTTTTTCTTCTTTTGTAATTTTGGTTCTTATAGAGTTTTATTGTCCACAATATGCCAAGATAACTCTCCTCCTTTGGATGATAAATTGATTGATTTATTCGTCTTTGCTGAAAAGTGTCATGTGAAGTTTGAACATGAATCATTGCCCTACTAGGCTACTACTCATCATAAGGGGAAATAATTAACTACTCACAAAGTTCTCTTGAGAGTTGAGATATTTTGTTTGGGCAATATGAGCTCCCATGTAAAATATGCTCGGTACACAATAAGCAGATACGTATTTTGAACGAAAACAATAAGCACATACTTGATCTCCTCCATTAGGTAATATATTAATTTATTATTATTTCCTAAGATGTTTCATGCAATAGTTTGATCAACCCTGTTGATGATGAGAATTTCTCTGCTCTTATCATCAACCCTATACATACTAAAATTATTGCCAACGAGCTTGAGCTGTTCATCAGAACTTTGAATGACTAGGTGTACCTAAATATGCTGATGGAAAAAGAATAACCAAGAATGTTTGGTTGTTTCAAAATTATGTTCTTAGGTGTACCTGAACATGCTGATGGAAAAAGATTATTGTGGAGAGAATGGAAGAGCAAAAAGAGAATGCAATAGGCCAATAGTTGTGGTTCCATTCTTTCTGCTATAGTTGTACTTTTCTATACCTGTTTGGAACGTTCTCGTGTCACAACAAAATGACTAACTCTCCTTCCATAATGTTTATAACTGTTTTCCTTTCCTCTAAAAGCATGTACATTTGTGTGGCAATGTCTGACTTAACAAATACAAATTTTAGTTGATATAAAGCAGCACTTCACTCTATTGTTTATATTTAAGTTAATGAATAGCTTCGCTCTACTGAACACTTTGCCACCGTTCATGGGCCTTCGCCGCGCCTACGTGCCTCATATGCGCTAAAGAATCCGGGCGCAGCGAAGTGCGCCTACCTGCCTGTAATTAGTTATTTTTTATCCTGAACCTCGCGCCAGTTTGCCTGCCACGCCCACACGCCACGCAAACTAAGGCACTTAATGAATAGCTTCGAGTTCAACCGAACACTTTGCGCTCCGTGCCTCCGTGCAACCGCCGAACCAAACCTGCCACCGTTCGGTTCTCGAATCCACTCCCTGACCTGTGCGGCGTGCCCGTGCCCCGCCGGAATATCGATCGCATGGCCTGCGCCGGCGCCGCGCGGAAGGTCTCG